TATCTTTGCAAAATATTGATGAAATTAATGAGTGGTTGCTTGGGAGGATGGATGGAGAATCAGATGAAGATAATGAGCCTGTGTTTGATGATGATGATGGCTTGACGTGGGCCACTGTTGCTAGAGCTTCTGGAGTAGAAGAAAGTAGCCATGCAAGTAGAGCAACAAGTTCACGCTCAAAGGCACAACCGAGGATATCTAAATCATCAACATTGACTCCACTTCAATTAATAGATGAAGAGGAAGCAGGCTCAGATGACACAGAGGAGGAAGATGTTGAGGGATATAAATCAACTGATGGAGAAGAAGATGTTGCCATTGATGTTGAGGATGATGATTGACTGACACCGACCTAACCTATCCTTTCTTTTGATATTGATGTTTTTAAGTGTTAAGACGTATATTAGTATTTGTTGAATATTTATATTTTGGATGTTTAATGTTTATGTTTTTATTTTTATTTTATTGAATGTGGATTATTTGATCTTTGAAAATTAGAATGTTATGTAATATGCACTTTCATAGCTTTGAGAATTATTCTATATTTTTCTATTTTTTACAAAGACTGTGCACCTTACTTCAATAAAGCCCGCGCCTCGCCTTGCGCCTTGTGCCTAGGCCCCGAGAGACCTTCAGCGCCTTAGTGCGCCTTGAGCCTTTAAAAATACTGAGCACAACCATTGCTGGTTTTGCTGAAGACAAACAGATGGCTCAAGGCATTCTACCTATCAACCTGAGTATGGGAACCAGAGACTGTATGACAGCATTTTTTGTCATACACAGCAATGCCAAATATAATGCTTTACTAAGGATTGGATCCACACAAACAAAAGTGTGCCTTCTTCTTTGCATTAGAAGATAATGATAGTACTATGCAATGGGAAAACAGAGGAGATCAATGCAAATCCACAGCCCCTTATTGCCTGTGCAGATTTTGCAGAAGCTAAGTTGTACACTGAAAGGGTGGTACCACTTAGTGTACTAAGGAAGTCTGATATAACAGCCGAAGTGACGACTGATGAGGAAGTGGCACACCTGAAGCATCTAGTGCAGGAAAGTACAAATGAGGAGTTCATTATCAAAAATGCCAATGATGTCTGGTTATAGGCAAAAAGATCAAGATCAAGAAGCCAGACCATTGGCTTTAATCAAATTTTCAACATTGGACATAGAGACAATAATCCAGAAGGTGCAGGAAAAAGAGAAAAAAACCATAGTGATTGGTTGTAGTCAGAGGCAACCAAGGGCCAGACCTTTGGCTCTTGGTAAATATTGTGCATTGGACATTGAAACTAAAGTCCAGAAAATACAAGAAGAAGAGGCTCTAAGGACAGATTTTGTCTACGAAGAAGAGAGTATGGATGTTGAACCACAAAGGGTAGGAGCAGGACAAGATGAAATGGTTGCTTCAAAGGTAGAAGAAGTCAAAGGGGGAGCATCAGTAGATGCCCAAGTGCATGATCCCTTGGAAGAAGCCAACCTAGGGGAAGGTATAGTATAACAACCCACTTACATCAGTGCTTGGTTGGATCCTACTGGCAGGAACCAATTGTTGGTTGTTCTGAAACAATATAAAGATTGCTTTGCTTGGTCTTATAATGAATTGCATGGATTAGATAGGTCATTAGTAGAACATATGCTCCTAATGAAGCCTAATTTCAATCCACACAAGCAGAAACCAAGACGGATGAGCCCTGAAGTTGTTCAAAAGGTGAAAGAGGAGATTGTTAGGCTACTTAAAGCAAGCTTCATCAGAACAGCCAAGTATGTTGAATGGTTGTCCAATATTGTGCCTGTGGTCAAAAGAATGGCAAGATGAGGGTATGCATTGACTTCAAAAACCTGTATTTAATAACACCAAAAGATAAGTACCCCATACCTATAGTTGATTTATTGGTGGATAGTTCGGCAGGACACAGGATTTTTCCATGATGGGTGGACATTCTGGTTACAACCAGATCTGTATAGCAGAGGAGAGTGTTCACAAGACAGCTTTCAGGTGTCCTGATAACATTGGCACCTTCGAATGAGTTAAGATGCCATTTGGATTGAAGAATGCTGGGACAACATATCAGAAGGCAATGAACACTATCTTCCATGATCTCGTTGAAGGATATTTACAATGTTATATTGATGATATTATTGTAAAATCTCAGTCTATGGAGGAGCATCTGGTTCACTTAACAGCAGCCTTCGAAAGAATGAGGAAGTTCAATCTAAAACTCAATCCTCTCAAATATGCTTTTGGTGTTAGCTGGAAACTTCTTGGGGTATGTGGTACACAAGAAGGGAATACAGATTGATCAGAACAAAGCCAAGGCCATCATCGAGGCCAAACCTCCATCAAATAAGAAAGAATTGCAAAAACTCTTTGGTTAGGTTAATTTCTTTCGAAAGTTTATTTCTAACACTACTAGAAAAACTAAAATGTTTCTTCTTTATTGAAGTTAAAAAATGAAGAAGAATTTGTGTAGACAGTAAAGCATTAAGCTGCTTTTGAAGGAATCAAAGCCTACTTGGCCAAGCCTCTAGTATTGATGCCACCAAGGAGGGACAGACCCCTGAAACTATACATTGCTGCGGGAGAAGATTCATTGAGAGTTTTTCTGGCTCAGGACAATGAAGAAGGCAAGGAGCAAGCAATATATTACCTTAGTAGGTTTTTAAATTCTTGCGAATGTAAATACTCAGCTGTAGAAAAGTTGTGTTTAGCATAGTATTTTACAGCAGATACTCCCTCCATCCCAAAGTAATGGTCTCTTTTGGGGAATTCAACTTTTTTTAGTAGTACAATTATTGTAATTTAACAAAAAATAATTTTTCAAAATTACCCTTTGATAGTATATTTTTTGGGGAATATCAATGTCATGATTGTACTTTTTATGTTGTTAATGAATTTAAAAGAAGGGTAAAATAGGAAATTTATATTATTTTTGTACTTGATTTTGAAAAGGGACAAATATTTTGGGACAATGAAAAATAAAATAAGAGACTAATATTTTGGGGCAGAGGGAGTATTATCTATTGCCTACTGTTGTCTTAATAATTGCAACCACAGATTTGGTTAAATACATGTTATCTAGACCTATGCTAAAAGGAAGAATCGGCAAATAGATTTTAGCCTTATCAGAGTTTCATATAGAATATATTCCCCAAAAGGCAGTAAAAGGACAGGTTTTGGCTAACTTCTTGGCTAATCATCCACGTCAAACAAAAAACTAAGAGATAATGGAACTTGGCACAATTGATGTTGAGCCATGGCAAATGTGGTTTGATGGATCAAAAGCCAATAGTCTAGTCCGAATTGATGCTGTAATTAAGTCACCACAAGGGGTAGAAACCACACATGGTTTCAGAATTGATGAACTTATTTGTTCCAACAACCAAGCTGAGTATGAAGCTTTAGTAATGGGACTTGAGATACTTATTAGATTACAGGCTCATGTAATTGATATATTTGGAAATTCCCAGTTGATAATCAACCAAGTAAAATGAATTTTTAAATGTCAAAGTGCAAGTATGTTACCATATTATGTTGCTACTTTACATTTGCTTTCTCAGTTTCAAATAGCAAATGTGACTTATGTCCCAAGATTCATGAATTATAAAGCCAATGATGTAGCCTAGAGGGCTTCGAATTTCAGAAGAAAGGCTAACACTCAAACATATATAAGTCAAGCAACATATCAAAAGCTAATACCACCTTTGGCTAAAAGAAGTATCATGGTAGAAGCTAATCAGAATGACCTGCAAAAACAAGATTGGAGGCATCCAATCATTTAGTATTTGACTGGCCCATCTTCGAAGGCCAACAGGAAGCTTAAACTGTAGTCTATGCAGTACATAGTATATGGGAATGCCCTTTACAAAAGGGGAGCAGATGGGCTGCTATTGGAATGTTTAGGGCCAAAAGAGGCACTGACTACCATGGTTGAGGTGCATGAAGGCATTTGTGGTGCCCATCAACCTGGTGTGAAGATGAGATGGTTGCTTCGAAGGCATTCCTATTATTGGTCAACTATCCTTGCATAGAGTATGCAAAGGGATGTTAGGCATACCAAAAGTATGGCGTGATAAGATACGTGCCAATAACTAATTTGCATACAGTTGTGAAGCCATGGCCATTTAGAGGATAGGCAATGGATATGATAGGAAAAATATATCCACCCTCTTCGAAGCATCATTGTTTCATTCTAGTGGCCACAGATTACTTCACTAAATGGGTCAAAGCTAAGCCTTATAAGGTTGTGGATTAGACTGAAGTTATTGGATTTATCAAAGAATTAATCCATAGGTTTGATATTTATTGGGTTTTAAAATAAATATTGATCAATTTTTATAAATTTTTAAGTTTGATCCAATATATTTCATATTTTTAAATCACTATAAACTGAGTTTTTTACATTTTATTTTAATAATTAATGACTTTATATTATACAAAAAATCAATCACTAACTCTTATATATAAGATAAACAATGACAAAAGTAAGAGAATAAATAAAAGCCTAAATATATATATATATATACATATTTTAACCAAGCCAAATAGATAATGACTACACTTATTATTATTATTATTATTATCAAACAATATATAGATAGACACATACAAACAAAATGATTTAGTGATAGCAGCTGAATAGAATAGCATAGGTCTTACAGTTTCAACAAATCAATAATATGTTCTTTATCTTCCTTCTTCTCTCTCTCTATCTGTTGCTCCTCCATTTTCTCTCTTTTATCTTCCCTCTTCGCTCTATCCCTCTTCCCCCATTTTCAGCTTTTTTTTGTGTTTTTTTGAAAGAAACAGTTTGGAACCGTTACGTAACGGTGCGTAACAGGCCGTTATGGCTGTTACGGCACCGTTACGACCGCTACGGCAGCTGCTACAGCCGACACACCTGTGAATCTCAATCACACTGCAAAAGCGGCCGCAACGGGTGGCGGTAACCGCCAAAACCGTTACGTAACGGTCATGGCCGCTTTTTAAAACCTTGAATGGAAGACAATCCCAGGGATTGGCATAATTTTTTGTTAGATGTGTTATGGGCTTATAGGACTTTTCCAAGATCAAGTACAGGAATCACCCCTTATGCCTTAGTGTATGGGCATGATGCAATGTTGCCTATAGAAATTAACATCAAATCCTTGAGGGTAAAATTCCAAGACCAGTTTACTACTGAGCAATATCATCAGAGCATGTTCTTAGAATTAGAAAATGTGGATGAAGCTAGAATTTTGGCATTGAATAGTATCATTTCCAAAAGAAAAAGGTAACCAAAAGCTATAATAAAAAAGTCAACCAAATTAGCTTTAATGAGGGTGATTTGGTGTGAAAGACAATATTTCCGGTGGGCATTAAAAGCCATAAATTTGGCAAATGGGAACTTAATTGGGAAGGGCCATACCAACTTTATAGAGTCCTGCTTGGGGGAGCCTACCATTTGAGAAATCTAAATAGTTATGTGCATCCTAAGAGGATCAATGTGAGATATTTGGAACCTTATTTTCCAACTGTGTGGGAAACACAAGGAGTGTAAGAAATGCTAAGTAAGTGTAATAAAGGAGCATTGAACACTCAAGGGCAAAATATATACAATAAAGATTTTCATTTCACAAAGATTTAAGTATACGAAGCCATAAATTGGCCCAAAAATTAGTACAATGTCTTTGTTGTTCCCTTACAATTGACTCTCTACTCCTAAGGGATGGGAACAACCGTATAGCTGTAGCCATCTCCTGCCTCCTGTCAGATAGCCTTGGCTAGTAGTTTGTAATCTCTCAGCATTTTGATCCAATGCTAGGTTAACTGCTGCTAACTCCTTCAGCTGGGCCTTCCTCTGCAAGAGTTGGGTTCAAAGTTGAGAAGCACAAGAGTGTTGTCCCTTCAAATCAAACACTTCAACATGAATTTGAGAAACAAACTCTTTGTCCTTCAATATCTCCTCTTCTGCAGCTTTGGCCATATGGCAAATATTGATATAAAAGTCAATGGATAACTGGCTTGCGAAGGCCATGTTGGACTGCTCAAAGATTTTGCAACACTTGAGGAAACTATTTTTGATGATGGGTTTTTGTAGGGCTTCAAATGGAAGCCTCGAGAATGATCTTAACAAGTCCAAGCAGTTGCCTAAGTCCACCCGAGACCAAGAGGTTTCTGCAACAGTGGAAAAGCTCTAAAAAATCTCCAAAAGGGAGTTAGCAAGGATCAATGGCTCAGTCTCACTGCTTGTTGCTCGAGCTGCTGGAGATATATCAAATACGCTAACCAGCTGGGCTTCAAAGATGTCCACCTCTTCCTCTGACATTAGCAATACAGAGGAATCAATAATTGAAGGAAGAGATGGAAGCATGGGGATAGGAGAGGGAGTAGAGGATTCCCCAACAGTATCTATGGTCCTGGCTATCAGTAAGTCGAGAGAAGAGGGACTAGAGCTGGATGGTAGAGAGGAAATTGGTGAGCTGCCAGTGTCATCTTTGAAAACACCAGCTGCCACTAAAGAAGAAGTAACAACTGGAGTTCTCTCAGAGTCTCAGGTGATAATGGGGTAGCCAGGACTCTGGGAGAAGTCTGCAGAGGTAAGGCAATTAAGATCAGGGGCAGGTTCAAGGGGTTGAAAGAGCCAGGAGAAAGGGAAGATGGAATGCTTGGCCTCAAGGAAAAAAGGGAAGAAGGCATGGGGAGTGTAGAGCCAGAAAGTGGAAGTATTAGCTGGAGGGATTCTACACTCATTGGCACTCCAAGATTAGCTTTCCCTTTTCCTTTTAAAGTTACCTTTAGTTCTGAGGAAGTCAAGAAGGGCCCCTCATTCCCAGACAAGGTAGAAGAAGGTAATGTTGAAGTGGGAAGGGGTAGGCTGGCTGCTGCTGCATTTCAAAAAACAAAAAGATGTTAAATTAAATGCTAAGCCTTGGAAAAGAAAATTTGTCAAAGTTACAAGGGACTAAGGGAAATTACCAACTTCAGTGGTTGTAGTGGTAATGATGGGAGAACTGCAAAGGGCATAATGATCAACAGTTTTACTCCTCGCAGTTTGCTTCTTTCTTGCCTCAGGAGCTGCAGCTTCTTCCTTTTGTATTTGTTGCTGCCTCCTCTTTTCTGATCTCTGAAAAATAATAATTTCCTTGGACTGTTCCTTCTCCACTGCTTTGGCATGAGTGGGGTTCCTGATGAGCTCAGAAGGAGAGAATGTCTTCTTCTTTCTTTTCAATGGCGCTTCCTCTTTTCCTTCTTCCTCCTTCTCTGAATGAGCTTTAGGTGCTTCCTCTTCAAAGTCAAGCAAAAGTTTTCTTTTTCTTTTTCTTTGTTGTTATTGCTTGCCCTTGAGAATATCCAAGGCCTGAGTCCTCTTGGGAGATTCCTCCTAAGAAGTCCCTGCAGCTAAGTTTGAGGAAGAAATATATAAGTAAGGGATTCTGAAGGGAGGGAAAAAGGAGAAAGTAGAAGTGTGTACCCTTCTTTGAGATGGCCCTGGTAACTCTAAAAGGAGGAGATGAGGCAGCAGGAGCACTAGGTGAGGTAGCAGGAGCAATGGTGGAAGCAATGGTGATGCCAGTCTCCTTGGGCTTGACTGATGGCACATCTAGCCCTTTCAACAGATCCTTAGGGGACATAACCAAGTGCACCTCCATGTTGGCTATCCACCAATTTTGATATCTCTTTAGGGCGATGCCTTGTGGGATGAAGGGAAATAATTCAAATTCATCCAAGTCTGTTATCAGTTTGAAGGTTGCTTCATTCAACCTGGTTTTGGGCACCTTTAGTTCTCTAGTTGCAAGATCTGAATTAGAGAGGCTGCATAGAGGGACAGGAATCCCCTGAATGAGCCCAAATTGCCTAGCACATTGGGAGGGGCAGTAGGCTTCAGAGATGCACTTGTAAGCTCGAGGATTCAATGTGCCAATAAAGAGCTCCCTTTGAATCAGAATGGAGGCCCACATATCTGTGTAAAGGCCTGGAGCATCTCTTATCAACCAAAAAAGTTCTCAGCCACGCTGGCCCTGTGTTAGCTTTGAAGGGGCAGAAGAAGGTGAAAAGGGAGGAAGCAAGGAGTTGATAGAAGAAAGTAAAGTAATAAGCAAAGTTGGAAGGGTAAAGGGAAACTCTGGCATATTTCTCTCCATAGGTAGTGGGGTCTTGCTCTAGAAATTTTAAACATCTGGAGTGCAAGTCAGTAAAGTATGCACAAAGCCAGAGTTGGAGTACCCAATGGGCCTCCTTAATTAATATCCAAAGGTTTCTCACAAAATTGGGAGCAGCCCCTATAAACATGGCCTAGAACATAAGGAGCCAAGGCTATCTTCTTCTTCGAAGCAAGAGCCTTGGCAAGAGGGACAAACTTAGGCATAATCTTCTGAGATGAAGTACAAAAAAGGAATTTGCGTAGCCAATATAGAATAAATGAAAAGAACTCTCAATCGGTGACAAGACCTTCCCTCTTGTTTTTAGTATTTACAAAATCACTAAAGGAGGGGTCCAAAGATGGAATGGTGAAGCTGACTGGAGGGTTTGGGTAATCAGGAGTGAAGGGATCACCAATTGATGAGAGTAATTTTATTTATTATATGTCATAAAATTATTAAAAAAAATCAAATAAAGGTAATAAAATATACAAAATAACACTATTAAAATTATAAAAAATAAACATTTAATTGATTTAACATCATATATATCGTTCACAATCAAGTATATCATTAGAACTACCACCCGTAGCCATTGTTTCAGAATTAATAATTGGTCCTTATAATAAAATTAATAAACATACATTATTAAAATTATATCCTCAAATAATAGAAAAGAAAAAATAAAATCAGAATATAAAAAAAATAAAAGAAAAAAAAATAAAATAAAACAAAATCAGAATTAAAGAAAAAGAAAAGAAAAAATTAAATTAATAAAAGAAAAAAAATAAAAGAAAAAAAAATCAGAATCAAAATCAAAATAAAAGGAAAAGGAAAAAAAAATGAAATAAAAGAAAGAAAGAAGAGAAGAGGCTGAGACAGAGAGGGAGAGAGAGCTATCGAAGAGAAAGAAATAAAAGAAAGAAGAGGCTGAGACAGAGAGAGAGAGGGCTACGACAGACGAAGATCGCACGAAGAAATCGAAGAAGATCGAAGAGTCGTACCTGCAAATCGACTGAAGATCGCACGAAGAAATCGAAGACTGACGACAGACGGCCGACGAAGACGACCGACGACAGACGACCGACGTGGAGCAACGATCGACGAGAGACGACGTACGACGAAGTCAGGTCTTCTTTCTTTCTCTCTTTCTCAGCTGTTTATCTTCTATTCCATAGTCGATTCGAAGAGTTAGGGCTAAACAGATTAGGGCAAATTTGATCTGCTTTTGATTATTTTCAAATTGACCCCAAAATTTTTTATTAAACTGTGAAATTGGCCCCGCGGGTGTCCCAAGCGTGTCTATAACGTGTCCAAAACGTGTCCGGATGTAAAAAAATTAAAAAAAAAATGGGACACTCTCCCATGCGTGTCGGACACGTGTCCACTGCGTGTCCGACGCGTGTCCGTGTCCGACGCGTGTCTGACACTGGTACGGAGCCCTCGGAGAGGTGTCCGTGCTTCATAGATTGGGAGCAACCCCTATAAACATGGCCTAGAACATAAGGAACCAAGGCTATCTTCTTCTTCGAAGCAAGAGCCTTGGCAAGAGGGACAAACTTAGGCATAATCTTCTAAGATGAAGTACAAAAAAGGAATTTGCGTAGCCAATATAGAATAAATGAAAAGAACTCTCAATCGGTGACAAGGCCTTCCCTCTTGTTTTTAGTATTTACAAAATCACTAAAGGAGGAGTCCAAAGATGGAATGGTGAAGCTGACTGGAGGGTTTAGGTAATCAGGAGTGAAGGGATCACCAATTGATGAGAGCCCCAGGAGATGGCAGATATCAAGGACAGTGGGAGCCATCACGCCATATCGAAATTGGAAAAAATTAAAAGATGAATTCCAAAAACAAAGGGCAACAGAAATAAAAAAGGGGTCTTCAAGATAATGAACCTGGAAAGACGAAGGGCATCGAGGATGCTGAGTTCTTGTAGGTCCCATTCTCTGGCAGGAACAACTCTATCATGCCATTCCTCCCATTCTGTCCTCAATGTGGGCCACCAGCGGTGAGGTCGGTTCATCCTCTACCTTCCCCAATCAAGATTCCCTTCGTAAAGGAGTTGGTGATCCTCCAAGCGAGGGTACAGAGCAGGAAACTGGGCAAGGGCTTCTCTGAAGATAGGTTCGAGGATGTATTCCCCTTAAGCATGGTGACGGGGGACGAAGATGCGCCCATCAATGGCACTTGGTTCACCAGCTTTGTATTTGTCAATCTCTTCATTGAGACACCTCCTTAAAGCCACAAACGAGTTCATACGCTCAATAACTGGTACTTTCGAGGAAGAAGAAGCCATTTAGTGAGAGGTTGAAAGAAGGGTGTAAAGAGTGAATTTGAGAAGGGTAAGAACTTAAACTCGACAGCAATGAGAGGGAAAGGGAAATACTGGACAAGTGAATAGGAAAGATCGCGAGAAATTGAGGTTTTAAACCTTTCTTTCCAAAATTACCCATTCAGCCTAACGGGTCAAGTAGACCCAAATCAATCAATTGATTATTTCGACCCGTGTGGGATTAGGGCCTTTATTTTAAAACAAAAGCAGGTCCTGAAAACACAAGGAGGAAAGTTTCCTTAAAGAGCAGCATTTTGGGAGGGAAACACATTTCAAATACTCAACTTGGCTTCAAAAACAGGTAGTTGGCTTCAACAAAGCCAGTTTTACACGTTAAACTCAAGTATAGTTGGGGTTTGTTTACTTCAAAGGTTTTGAGGGTATGCTCTTAGGCTTTCCATAAAAGGCAATTTCCTTCAAAGGAGTCTTTGTAGTATTCTGTGATTAGAATATGGCTCTTGCCTGATTTTTTGAGTCCAAAATAAGTAAGCACTACAAAGCGAGTACTTGGTCAAGCAATGTGGAAATTTCAAAGACCAGAGGACTTACCCACACATAAAAGTACTTTCTTGAACTTTCTATTAAAACAAACCCCTTTGAAGACAAATATTGTCACTTTAAAGAGAAACTCCATGCTTCGAGAAACGTAAACCAAGCTTGGAAGCAAGATTGGTTACTTCGAAGCTGCCACTCATAAATTATGTGAACAAAGTGAGGGATAAGGTTATATTAACCATACAATTGAAATATGAAAAACCCAATTTTATTAATATAAATACTTACATTGGGAGAGCCTATTTGGCTACATTCTCAATCTCATAAAAGTAAGGAGTGGACAATGTAACAAGGTCATGAAATTTTGTCCAGCAAAACTCAATAAATACATATTTCTTTTCTAGCCTTTCTTCTATCCTAACTAAGTTTGGTTTATCTAATTGATGAGCCCTTATTTGGAAGAAGAGTTATTGGGTCTTCATTTCAAACATTGTTTGCTTAAGAGCTCTCTCCACTTCATCCATCTCTCCCCTCCCATGCGTATCACCCATGTTGACATCTTCTCCATACTCTGAATCTTGGTTCTTGAAGTCCTCATACTCTTCAAGAAGATTCTCTGCCTCGTACTGGGTCTGAATGCAAGCAACAGAGATCTCCTCCAGGGATTCACTACCAGCAGAAGCATTTTTGTGTCAGTTCAGCAGTAAAGGGAACTGATCTAGGAAAGTGTGAAGCTCTGCCTGGGCCACAGGGTTGAGAATGCAGCTTCGAGAGTCAATATCACAAGCCCATAAAAGATTCTTGTGAGAGATGTCATCTCAAAGGACCTAGAAGGATAAGTGAGAGAAAGCAGCAAGCAGAGTCTAGGCCTCTATATTGCTAATAAACAGTTGGAGAAACTAGAGCCTGGTTAGGAGCAAAATGCTGGCTTTCGAAAAGGGTAAGCTTCAATTCCTCAATCCAATTAGGGTTGGAAGGCAGGAATGGAGCAATTGGGTCCCCTCCAAATGAAGATGGAAACTGGGGCTCGTTCACACATTCTAGCCAGTCAGAGGAGCAAAGTTTTGCTTTCTTGGCTAAGAGTAAGGGGCTGATTCCCAAAGCTTCAATGGGATGCGGGGTCTTTCGCACTATTCTAGTCGGCAAGGCAGAAGTGTACCATGCTGAAAGCAAGTTGTCTTCGAGACTACGAAGACAGTCGAAGGGAACATATAGATAGACTACAGAGTTACTCATAGAGGGATGGATTGCAGTGGGGTCATCAAATTCAAGAAATCGATGGTGGATTTGCTCCCTTGTTTGAAGTTAAGCGGGTGTGGGCCAAGTACACCAGCTAGTATTTCCAGAAGAAGAGGAAGCAGATTCATCCCATGCAGAGAGTTTTTGAACAGATGAAGAGCTTCCAAGATTCATTTGTGCAAGTGCTTGGCCCAGAGGCTCATATTGTGCAAAAGCTTCCATAACTTGTATAAATGGAGATGGCTAAATGTGGCCAATAAATGCATGAAGGTTCTTTCGAGATTGATCATCATTGTCCAAAAACTCTTCATATGCTTGATCAATGAAAGAAGTGGGTTGGTTAGCCATCAGGAGAGGTATCAGTCCTTTCGTTTACGTAGATAACGGAGGTTCAAATCGCAAGGAAGAATTTAAAGAAGTTCAACGCTTCATTGCTCAGAAAATGGTTACACTTCCAAAATAAACAAAGTCGATGCACGTCCTAGGACGTGGGCAAAGTACACTGACCCACTAATATCACCAAGTATTCGGTATATTGGTGTGGAGGGTAATGCTGGCTATATATTTTGTATAAGCCAATTGCAGCTTAACACGTGGCTCATAAAGGGTAATTTAGGGAGTTAATACAAGTCTCCAATCAACGACAGACACGTAACAGTTCACATTGGTAATAATGAATCTGCGTAGCACGGGAGCAGTTAAAAGGCGCAAGATGACGGGGCCCAACAGTTACTCACAATTCAAATTCAAATTCATGAGGGAAGCCTAATTGCAAGAATGGTATAGCGGAAGTTAACTATGCGAGGCCATGACTACAGATCGTGGAAGGGCATTTCAATGGTAAGAAACCTACTTCGACGATTACCATTCGAGAGTATAAATAGAAGAAAAGGCCAACAGAAGAAGAACCTAGACTCAGATCCAGAAACTAGTTATTTACTTCATATTTTGCTTTCCAATTTTTATATTCCCAGTTCTTCAATTCTTGTACTGCACCTCAATTCTTAGGAGTAATTTGTTGCTGTGAACCTCTTTGAGGCTGGGTCATTGTAAGTTCGTATTATTTAATGAAATTCAGTTCATAAAATTGTTTTTATCTATTATTGTTATTTTCCATATCTTTAAAACCGTCTCTTAAGCAAAGCCACCAGTAAAAATCCTCTTCATTGAGGCTACAAAAATTTCAACACAATCGCCTGATAATTGGTTGGCAATTAAAATTTTTGTAAGGACTTATTGATCCTTACTGGCACACTTAAAATTACATTATTAACCTTCAAAAGCCCAAAAAAGCCAATAGCAGCATGCGGCATGAGGCTATCCGCAGCATTAATGGGTGGGAGTCCCAC